TAAATTGTCCACTTTGCATAGCAACATTTTTAATGCTATAAATTACTTAATTTAGCTGAAAAATCTTCACAAGATCAATATTATGCTTCCTGTTCAAATCATTTGTGTTTTTCAGTCCCACCTGTGTTTTCGGTCATGAGCAGCAAAGATGCTTTGTTGGAAAAGACATGTGATGAAAATGCAGAAAATTTGTTGCCCAAGCATGTGCATTCTGTTCATGAGAAAACATGATTTGATGTAAAAATATGAAAGTGCTGCAGAGAGAAAACTAAAGTTGAAAATGATCACATGGTTTGATATCTTTCTTTAAGGGTTCCAGAGTTGAGATTGGAGGTTTTGCAATGATTCTTGTCCTTCCTCTGTAGCCAGCTCCAGTTGGTGTTGGGACACAGGAGATATTAAGTTTTAAGTCCCTGTAATGTGGGATGTGTCAGGGCTTGGCAGAGTCACCCCTCTTTTTTAACCTCTATATAGCAATAGCACTTAGATTTATATACTGCTTCACAGTGCTTTACAGCCCTCTCTAAGCAGTTTATAGAGTCAGCATATTGCCCCCAACAATCTGTCCAATGCATCAATCTCATTCTCCTTTCCATGGCAATAAAAACATTGAGAGCGATATTGAAAAAGTGCTTGTTATGCACAAGATTAGACTTCGCAGAAGTAGAAGAGACTCACTCTCCAAGCATTTTACCGACCTAAGGAGGATGGAAGGGTGAATCAACCTTGAGCCGATGAGGATTGGACACCTGGCTGTCAGCAGAAGTACCTGCAGTGCTCCATTCTGACCACTGCACCAGCACAGCTCATGATGATATATGATGATTTAATGGCTGTCCAAATCTCCAACGATAGCCTTAAAAATATCCAGTAATGGTTGATGATATTGAACCCGAGGAAAAGATCCAGGAGGGCTTGGATAGATGCACACTCTCATTCCAAGTTCTCCACAGGTCATATTGCCTGGCTTATTCCCTAATTTAAAAGAGTAATGGACAGAACGAATAACTCTGAGGAACAGGAGGAAGGAGAGACAATCTAAACAAGTCAGATAAAAGAAATCTGAGTTGAGCTAGAACTGAGAAAGTGTCTCGAGCAAGACTAGTTGTCACGAAGATAAAGAGAGAGGAGAGCACATTCAAAGTTGCAATATTTTATTATTATAACTACTAGTAGTAGTATTTTAAATTTATTGGCTGACCAACTCCAGGGGATTCTAATAATAATACCGTTTAATAAATAGTATTATTGTATATGACTAGGTTTAGTCTGATGTGCCTTGAAGAGCTGACATGAAAGAGCCAGATAATCCATTCAGGACACTCTGATCCTCTTAACATTACTAAATGGGGAATGTTATAAATTGTCCAACATGGTTGTGCCCAAAGATAGTCTTTTAAAAAAAGGAACATGGCACTGCCTTCTACAACGAAGCATTAATCACTACTTTGACCTAATCAAGTGCCACCTCCAGGGAGATCTTAATATAGGTAGCAGAACTCATTGCCCCAAGGATCCTGTCTACTTCCCTGTGAATAACCAGCTCAAACCCTTCCCAAACAACTGAGCACAGATATACCTCCATCACTTCTATAACATCTGCCCAGCCAGACTACAAGCAAAATTGAGCAACTTTATCTGGCAGATGCCAAGAATATTCTTCACAGCAACTCTGCAAAAGTTTTCCCAGTCCCTCCTTTCCCAAAAGGGGCCTGGTCATCCTAAACAGGTCTACTCCCTGGCTCACAATACAAATCAAGAAATGAGCTTGCTCTGCTGTTCTTATCATCACAAGGTAAAACTCTCACCTGTACTTAGTCAGCCTTGCTCTTCATTTTTTTTTTTTTGCCAGCACTGTTCTAGACATCACTTACATTGTTTCATTTCCTGAAGCTGCTCAGTAAACTAAGATACTCTATGGCAAGCAGGGGTGGGATTCAATTTTTTAACAACCAATTCTGTGGGTGTGGTTTAGGTGGCGGGCATGGCTTGGTGGTCATGTGACTGAGTGGACATGGCTTGGTGTTCATGTTATTGGCTGGGCGTGGCCAACTCAATATCACTCACATCGAGGCACACATCTCCTCACCTGTCCTCTCATGACTGTGGGGATGCTGCAACAGTCGTAAGTGTGAAAAATGGCCATAAGTCACTTTTTTCAGTGCCTTTGTAACTTTGAATGGTCACTCCACATAAGCAAAGTACCACCAAAGGAGGGGAAAAAACTCCAGAGACATTCCTGAGACAGTCCTACCAAGAATGTAATAAGGGTTAACAGAGAGGCAGTTTCTGTAAGCAACCCCAGAATGTTTCCTTCCTGCCTTCCTTACAGGATTAGGCCAGTAATTTCTTCTAACAACCGATTCTCCAAACTGCTTAGAATGTTAACAACCGGTTCTAGCGAATAGGTGCGAACTGGTAGAATCCCACGCCTGATGGCAAGGGTCTTCAAACTTGACAGCTTTAAGACTTGTGGACTTCAACTCCCAGAATGCCTCCTCCAGTCATGTTAGCTCAGGAATTCTGGGAGTTGAAGTCCATAAGTGTTAAACTTGCCAAGTTTGAAGACCCTTGCTCTATAGGCAAGGGTATGTTCATAGAACACTCTTTCTGTGTTCACAAAGAGTCCATTTTAGAGCAATCCAATTCAAGGCTCTCATTGAAGCTCATTCCAAGCCAAAACCATGACCTCTGTTGAACCAGGATCCAGAGCTTCCACGAAAAAAACAACAGATTCCTTCTGAAATCTAGTTGGGTCCATTAATTGCCTGGGCCAACTGATCAAATAGCCCTACCTTCCAGCAGCAAGGGATGGACACCAAAAAGAAGATTCCAGAGCTAAGAAAGATTATCTATCCATGACAAAGGACAGATGTTAACATCTCCTAGACCCAGATCACAATGCTTCTTCCCCAAGATAAAAACCAAATCTAATATATGACCTCTTTTATGGGTTTGGTCCTCAATAAATAGGATGAGTCCATGGTCGTCATGGTAGCCATAAACTCCTGAGGCTCTTAATATTATAATGATGCAATCTACACAAGGAATATAGACAGAAAAGAAAGGGAAACTGGAGGAATCAATTTTGAACTAGTCACATATTATAATCATATCATCCATAATATTTTAAAAAGAAATATTTTGAAGAGTCAAGATAAAATACTTATCTTACTACATGTAGTAACTAAAAAGAGTTAAAAAACTGAGCTTAGATATAAATAATGCCAGGTGCCTCTTACAATATGAAATAACTTTGAAGGCTTCCCTGAAAATAAAATAACTATTTCACTACATGTATCCTAGAAAGATAGTGCCCTCTGGTGAACTATCCAATGTAAAGCTTCATATTTAAAAAAAATTAAATATATTAGCTAAACATAACATCAAAAACTCATGTTGTTTAATCATGCTATGCAGAATTTTTCTAGCATTATAGTTTTAATTATTTAAAAACATTTTAAAAATGTTTTTTAAGTTTATTATAGGATAAAATACAAATACAACAAAAATTAAAGTTAAAAGGAGAAGTCGGTTTTGTCATCCCTACCAACTCCATCATCTTTACCATCCATTCATATTTTAAGAATAAACTTGACTTAATTTCAGCACCAAGCATCATTGGCTAGGTTGCCTGAATTGTTGTGAATTTAAATTTTTTAGCAACATAAAACAACAATGAATTTTGTGGTACCTTAAAAATATATTACTTATGCTTTTATAAATTACAATCTGCAAAAAAAATACCCATTTCATCATTTTTAAAGAAGCAAAATACATTACTTTTTTCTATTTTGGAAGGTATAAGGGTCATAAAGTGGGACTTAAAACATCTTCAAAGCTGAAGGCAGTTATTTCATCCTTTAATACCCTTTTAATTAAAAAAAGAGCCCAAAAAATGTGATTCTTTGTATCACACTGATATCTCTGGCTGCACTGCCTTTTTCTTCATAGGTATCCCGCCCCCACAAAAAATATATGTGCTGTTCCTGGCTTTAAAAAAAAGTTGCTAGTTTTACTTTAAACTATGTGTGAAATAAACATACATTCTCCATACATTCTCAAGGCTAAAACCCAAGATTTTAAACCCCTGTGAATGAACATATGACAACTTGAAGAGCTTTAAAAGAATGCCCAAGTGACAGAAGGCAATGGAACAAAGATTTTGTGGAATGTTCTGGGTATCTTTAGACTCTACGGTATTAAAACTGCTTGCCGAATCATTGTTTTCTTATCATCATTTTCTTGTAATGCATTTTCCTGGTGCTCTTCTATCCAAGTACTAATCAGGGCCAACTCTGCTTAGCTCTTCAAGATCAGCTAAGGGCAGCTTATACAGGGCTCTGTTATTAGAGAAATATTTCACATACATGTCCTCAGCAATTCACTCACTGTCTAATAAGGATATCATAATTCTAATACAATAATTTTCTTCCCCAAAATAGTGCTTTCTATAAAGACAGGCCTCCTTTCCTCCCTCCCTTCCTTCCTTCCTTCCTTCCTTCCTAACTTCTTGTGTCAAGTGAAGTCTGAGAATTCTCCTGATCCCTTGGGAAAAGATGGACATTTTCCCCCTGCCCAGTGGGCATGAAAAACACCATGTTTAACTTTGTATTTACAAAATTCAATCATGTCTAGAAACTATTTCTTCCCCCAAACATAATCTCATCAGGACCTGAAGGAAAATAAAGATTCCTTATGCTAACAAAAGCAGAATGAAAGGACACAAAACAGCAGGGACCCAGCTCAATATAATTGTCCAACATATGTCTAATTAGGGAAAGATCAACAAGGTAACCCAGACAAAAAGGCTGCAAATGTTCGGTGTAAATTGGAGACATGGGCCTAATCCCATCAACATTCTAATGCTTGCTAGCAGAGATATAATAGTTGTTTCCATTGTTGCTGCTGCTTCTAAAAAGCCTTGTTTTTCTTAGCAATAAATGTATATTTTATTTTATAGACTTAACTAACAAATTTTTTCCTTCTTATGGCCCCAGGAATCTTGACAACAAACCAAAACCTTGAAAACAGCTGACGCCACAATTCAAAATACCTATAGACGTTCAGCTCCTCCATTTGTGTTCCTATCATCTCTTCTACAGTGTATACTGGAAACCAACAATTATTGCTTCAATAGAGTTGAAGTTCCTCCTCAGAGTTGCACTGCAATTTTTCATGACCACAATAACATGGCAGCTCAGGTGGTTTGCCATTTCTTCCATCCTATCTCTAGAGCTTCCCCACTGATATGAAATGAGAAACACTGTATCTCTAGAGAAATTTGAAAATGTATCTGGCAGTTGTGAAGTGGAGAATCTATGATCCAGAGTTATCATGTTTTTTATCTCATTGTTGGTCCTGTCTATTAGGAATAGGACTTTCAGATAAAAAAAGAAACTCATATCTCATTATTCTGAGAATCCAAGGTAAGAGAAGTCAGGATATATTTTACTTTAAACTTTAAATATACTTTATTTACTTTAAATAAAGTATATTTACTTTAATACTCCTGAATTTGGAGTATTCATCACACTCCAAAGATTTTTTTTTAATTTTTTATTGGTTTTTAAAACAAACATAAACAAACAAAACATAAAAACATCAAATCATCTTCCATATATGAACATACAGTGTGCCGGTTGGTTTACAAATTGTTTTGTGATTCCATTTCATAGTCTTCAATTATAATTACATTGTATATAATCTCGTATTTTCAATCAATATATTAAATACATTAATATCATTATTAATCAATCATTTGACTATACTTTTATTCATTCATGTTTTCCAAAATGATCATATTTTACTTAATTTGTTTTATGACAATTCATATTATCATCCCAGATCTATCCTAGAAACTTTTTATAGATATAATAAGAAAAGAATACATCTTTATATATTTATTATTTTCTAAAAGTCTACATGTTTCATTACTATATTTTATTGTCTAACCATTGATAGAATAGATCCTAAATTTTATAAAATTGTTTTATCATCTTGTTCTCTAATTTCAAATGTCAATCTACTCATTTCAGCACATTCCAATATTTTCTTAATGATTTCCTCCTGTGATGGTATTTTCTCGTTTTTCCAGTTTTTAGCAAATACAATCCTAGCCGCTGTTAATACATTTACAATCAGGTATTTCAAGTCTTTACTATATATTTCAGGTAAAATTCCCAATAAAAACATTTCTGGTTTCAAATCTATATGGTTTTTTGTCATTTTTTCCAACCACGTGTGGATTTTAGTCCAGTATTTTTTAGCATCCGCACAAGTCCCCCACATATGGTAATATGAGCCAGGTATCTGATGACATTTCCAACATTTTTCGGATTTATTCTTGAACATTCTTGCTATTCTTGTCTGGGGTGTCAGACAAGAAAGTGCCACCTGTAAAACATCTTATACAAATTTTCTTCATATGCTGTTGACATTGTCATTTTATAATTTTGAGACCACCATTTTTGCCATTTCTCTAGATCAATCCCATATCCAAAATTCTTCCCCCAAGCAATCATAGTTTCTTTAACTTGTTCTTCTTCTAATTTAATTTCTAATAAATATCCATACAATTTTTTAATCACCTTTTCATCAGTACCTGTAAAAATTTTATCTAAGTCAGTCAATTTATCATAGAAACCTTCTGTTTTAGAATCTTTATCATACCTTGAATGTATTTGCGCATACGAAAACCAATTCATCTTTATACCTTGTTCCTCGAGTTTTTGTATAGATTTAAGTTCACCCTTTTCATTCAATATTTCACCATATCTGTTTGTTCCTTTTTGTATATTATAAGATAAGAAAATGCTTCAATAGTTGATAGCCAGACTGGAATTTTCAAATAACATTGTCTTTTAATCTTCCCCCAATTTAACCACAGAGACTCCCGTATATAATGTCTTCTAAAGTACCCCTGTGTTTTAGTTCCTTTATACCATAAAAAAGCATGCCACCCCAACAATAGGTCACGTCCTTCTAATGTCAACAATCTAGTATTTCTTAATGTTATCCATTCCTTAACCCACATCAAATTTGTAGCTTGATAATACAACTCCCAATTAGGCAAACCAAATCCTCCTCTTATTCTAGCATCTTGCAAAAGTTTTAACTTTATTTTTGCTTTCTTACCTTGCCATGTCTATTTCAACACAATTTTATTTAAATCTTCAAAGTAGTCTTTTCCAAGCCTAATTGGAATTGTTTGAAACAAATATAAAATTCTGGGTAATATATTCATCTTGTTGATATTCTCCCTATTAATGACAGTTGTAAATTTTTCCATTTCGCCAAATCTAGCACTATCTGCTGTTTAAGTTTGATAAAATTATTCTCTTTTAGTGTACTGCATCTTGCTGTCAAGTATATCCCCAAGTACTTGATCTTATTCGTGACCTGAATTTTCAATAGGTCTGCCAATTCTTCCTTTTGTCTTGATAGCATATTCTTTGTCAAGATCTTTGTCTTATCTTTATTTATTTTCAAACCAGCCACCTCTCCATATGTCTCTATCTTTTCTATCAGTTTTGATGCTGTTTCTAGTGGGTCTTCTAAGATGAAAACCAGATCATCTGCAAATGCTTGCAACTTAAATTCTTTCTTTTTAATTTTCATCCCTTTTATATTCTTTTCATCTCTAATATTTCTGTTTAGCACTTCCAAAGTTAACACAAACAGCAGAGGTGATAGTGGGCACCCTTGTCTTGTTCCTTTTCTTATATCAATAGATTCTGTCAGTTCTCCCTCTATCATTACCTTTGCCGCCAGCTTATGATAGATAGCTTCTATTGCTTGAATAAATTTTCTAGCAAAGCCCATCTGTTCCAGCAATAATAACATGAATCGCCAATTCACATTATCAAATGCCTTCTGTGCATCTAGAAATATCAAAGCCATTTGTATTTCAGGATGTGCCTCGTAGTATTCCAGAGTGTCCAAGATTAGTCTCATATGGTCTTTGATTTGTCTCTTTGGCAGAAATCCATTTTGGTCAGGATGGATAAAATTATTTAAATATTTTTTAAGTCTTTCTGCCAATATTGAAGAAAAGATTTTATAATCTGCATTTAGTAGGGAGATAGGTCTTTAGTTCTTGATTTGTAATGGATCGGTCTCCTATTTTGGAACAAGTGTGATATAAGCTTCTGACTATGATTTAGGTATCCTCTTCTTTAACATAACTTCATTCATAACTTCTAGCAGTGGAAAATTCAATGATTCTTGTAATGTTTTGTAAAATTCTGCCGGAAGTCCATCTGGGCCTGGTGCCTTTCCATTATTTTGTTTCTTAAGTGCTTCAGTTAACTCCATCATCATTATATTGCTTTCTAACATTGTTTTAATCTCTTTAGGTATCTGGGGTAAATTAGCATTCTGTAAATACTGTTTAACTCTTTCCTCATCAATATTCTCTTGTCTGTATAGTTTCCCATAATAATCTCAAATAATTTCCTTCTTCTCTTTATTACCATAGCAAACTTGGCCTTGGTCATCTATTAATTGCGATATTTTCCTTGATTCTTTCTCCTTTCTCAATTTATATGCTAACCATCTACCTGGTTTATTTGCATCTTCAAAATAGTTCTGTTTGGCACCTCTAATTTTTTGTGCTAATTCTTCTTTTTCTATTAGACCCATTTTATGTTTGGTTATATCCATTTTTAACTTAATGTCCTTTCTCTGTGGCATTTTCTGTAGCTCTTTTTTGAGTCCTTTATACTCACCTTCTAATGCACTAGAGGTTAGTCTTTTCATGGTATTTCTTTTCCTTGTATAGTCTATTATCAAGCCTCTGGCATATGTCTTCATTGTATCCCATACATTCTGGATTGATGTATCTCCTTTTTCGTTTTCTCCAAAGAAAAAGGCCAATTCTTTCTCCATCCACTGTGTGAAGTCTTTTCCCTTTAAAATAGTATTATTTAACGTCCATCTAGATCTTCTTCTTTGTCCTTTCCATTTAATTGTCATTGGGTTGTGATCTGCCCAAGTACTTGTTTCAATATTTATTTCTTGAATATTAGTTAACAATTCTGTTGACATCCATATCATATCTATTCTGGACAATGATAAGTGTCTATTTGAGTAGAAGGTATATTGTTTAGTTTTAGCATTTCTTTCTCTCCATGTATCTTTTAAGTTTATTTCATCTACCATTTAAAAAAAAGATTTAGGGAGAGTCTTTCTATTTTGCTTTATTGTTTTCTGTGCTGTGTAGTCCAGTTTATTGTCTACAATTCCATTAAAATCTCCCATCATAACTATATTAACATAGTCCAGTTCAACTATTTTCATATGTAATTTTTTATAGAATTCTTCTTGTTTGTCTTTCGTGGCATAAATTGCAATCAGGAGTGTTTTCGTATTATTGTCCATTATTTCCACCATTAATATTCTTCCGTCGTCTGTTCATATTGTTTTTTAATATGTACTTCTTGTAGGCAGATTATATCAAATTTTAATTTCTCTAATTTATGAAAGATTTTCCTTCTTTTAACGGCTGAGTTAAGTCCATTTATATTAATTGTAATCAATGTTTTCTCTTCCATGGTTATATTTTGTAATTAGGTTTAACAGCTCTCGTGGATCTTGGTTCATGTTGTTCTTTGGCTTCCTCCTTTCCACCTACTGCACCTTCTTCTTTTTCAGTCGTCATTTGGGAGTCCTCTTGGAATTCAATTAGTGAGATTTCTTTTTCTGCCTCTTCCTCCCCTCTGAAAAATTCTGTGTAAAATGATTCAGCTTTCTCAATTGAGTCAATTCTATATCTCTGTTCTTGCCATGTGAACATTAAACCTTCTGGAATCAGCCATCTATAATTCACCTCTTTTTAAAGTAATAATTTGGTCAAGAATCGGTATTCTCTTCTCATCTCTCTCACTCTTCTGGGTACTTGTTTCAAGACCACAATCTCCTTATCTTTGTATTTCAATGTTTTCTCTCTTGCCACTTGCAATATTTGCGTTTTAATGGCTTTCTTTGTAAATCTGATGTGAACTTCTCTTGGTAAGCTATTTCTCATCGCATATCTTGTGAAGACTCGATAAACCTCATCTATTCCATCCATCATCTTCTCTTCAGTTATTTCCAAAGCTTCAGCCAATATTTCTATCATTATCTCAGCTAGATTTTGTCCTTTTTTTCCTCTATGTTTTGGAATCTAAGATAAAATTCTGATCTGTCCATCTCCCATCTCAGCATACCACTTTTATCTTGTTCAACCACAGTTAATCTGTAATCAATGTTTCCAATCTTCTTGTCTCTTTGTTTATCTTCTTTGTTTATCTTCTCATCATACTTCATCATCATTTGTTGGATGTTCTCCACTTTTTCATTGGTTTTCCATGTTCTTTGTTCAATGTTCTCTGTTGTCTTTTCAATATTCTCTGATCTTGTTTGAATATTTTGAATTCCTTGCATAATCAACTGCAGGGTCACTTTTTCTTGTTCTTTTTCTTGCCTTAATATTGTCTGTATTGAACGTTGTCCTCCAGATGGTGGAGAGGAAGAAGTGGAAGTTGAAGAACCAGGAGCTGTTAATTTCCTAGTCATTTTGAGGAGTTCAAAATCTTCAGGTTCTTCTAGACCTTAATCCAGTTGTAAAATAACCAATTGCAGTTCCAAATAAAAATAATAGGAAAAAATTAGGAGAATAGTAAGAAAAGAGAAGCCAAATAGTAATAATAATAGAAAAAGAAGAAAAAATGTCTTCAGGTTCTTGTATACCTTAATCCAATCGGTTGGTTAGATGACAATAAAAATTCAAAAATGAAGGAAAGACCATAAACAGACCATGAACACACACAAAAAAGAAAAAGTTGTAAAATCCTAAAAAAGGCAAAAAAGTGAAGAAAAAGGCTAAAAAAGAAAGGAAAAATTATTCAGGTTCTTCAACACCTTAATCCAATTAAGAGGTCTCAATTATAAAAGCATGCATAAAAATAAACCAAAAAAGAGAAAAAGAAAAAAAAACACCAATATGGAAGGTAGATGGAAAGACAAAAATACCAGGAAGGAAAAAAGAAGAAAAAGGCTACTCCCTTAAAAAGAAAAGGAAGGGAAGCATTAATACTAAAGATTTTCCTTTAAAATAAAAAGCAGATGTAGAAATTTAACTTCCAAAGACAAGAAGAAGAAAAAAAAAACAAAGAAGTTCCAGAGAGCCAAAAATCCAAATAGCTATTGCAAAAAAAAGTAAACTGATGAGGAGGGATAGCACAGCTTAAAAAGAATAAGAAGAGCACACTGCACTTTGATTATCCAAGGCTCTTGTTATAAAGACTTATCACCTTTTCTTTTCCTAAGCTCAACACCAGACTCCAGCTGTTGATAAAAACCCAGAAGAGCACCTGTAATAATACTCTCCTGTGCTCTTCCCTCTATCTCAGGGGTCAGGGAATTTTTTTACCTCTTACCCCCCCAAAAATTTATAAACGCAGACGTTACCCCCTTGATTTGAAAGTAAGGAAATCATACATCCAATAACATTTTGAATTCAAATACTGTATTTAAAATTACTTTGAAAGCTTCAACTTACTTGAAAACTTCAGGTTTTGGAGAAATGATGTTGCTTCATCTTGGATATGAGATCATCAATATTGGGACATTTTGATGTCAGAGCAATATGGATACAGTCTTCCGGGTCCAATCGATTTCTTGTCTTTGTTTTTATGTTCGTAAGAGTGGAAAATCCTTGTTCGCAAAGGTAGGTTGTTGCAAAAGGCAGCAACTTTTTGAATGCTTCCTCATGTGCAATTTTGAAGGCCTTTGCAGGTGTTGACATCCAAAAATGTGAAAGATCTGCTTTGTTTTCAAATGCAATCTGTGCTTCATTACTGCATCGAAGCTCAAGAAGTGACTCTGCCAACCCTTGAGGCTCTTCTGGTACAGCACAAATTTCACATTTAAAGGGGTCTACAATCCAACTGACAGCATGTGAATCAAGATCTGGAAAGTAATCAGAGAACCGCTCTTTGAGTTTAGTAAGATGCCTTATAACTGTATCCTTGATGTCTTCAAAAGTAATATTTTCACAATCTTCCAAGAACAAAGCTAACGTTGAAAAGGTAGCTATCTTTTTCTGTTCAACTTTTTGCCTCCAATATGAAAGCTTTGATCCAAATGCAGAAATCTTTTCTCTGGCTGAAATTATATTTATGTTTTTTCCTTGCAATTCTTTGTTCAATACATTAACATGCTCAAACATATTTGCTAAATATGCAAGATGTGCAACCCACAAGGGGTTTGTAAACTTCTCTGCAAGAACATGCTTTTGCTCAACCATAAAACTTTCAAGTTCAGTTTTGAGAGCCCACACTCGGTTCAGAACATTTCCACGTGAGAGCCACCTCACTTCAGTATGATAAAGTAGGTCTGTATATTCAGCATCACCAGCTTTACATAATTCACGAAATAATCGCGTGTTTAGTGCATGTCCTTTGACAACATTGACAATCTTCATAACATCATGCATGACGGCCTCTAATATAGGTTCCAAATGTTTCACAAGCAGAGCCTGGCGATGGATAATACAGTGGTTTACTTCAACTTTTGGGTTTCTCTCTCTCACAAAAGCCACAAAACCATTAACATGACCCAACATAGCTGGAGCTCCATCAACAGACACAGCAAGGCAGTCTTCCCACTTTAAATTGACGTCATTAAAGTATTCATTAACTTTATTGAAGATATCAATTCCACGAGATCGCAAGTCAAGAGGAGAACAAAACAACAATTCCTCTTCAATTAAATGTAAACCTTTGTAGCGGACATATACCATCAGCTGAGAATTACTACTAACATCCATAGTCTCATCTAGCTGAATAGCAAAGTATTTACTCTCTTTTACTGAGGAAATAACTTGTTGCCTCACATTTTTTGCTAAAATAGAAACTCTTTCTTTAACAACTCTTGCAGACAAGGGCACACAATTTAGTTTCTTGGCTTCATTCTGACCACACATAATCTCTGCCATTTTCAAAGCTGCTGGTTTAACCAAATCCTCACCAATAGTATAAGGTTTTTTGTTTCGGGCAATCAACCAGGCCACTTCAAAGCTAGCCTTGGATGCTGAACATTGACTGAATGTACCTCTAAAGCTGCTGTCCAATCTTTGTCTTTTGACAGACATTTCCAAATTGACAAAATATTCCCGTGGTTTTGAAGCCAGATGTGGGTGCAAATTATCCAAGTGTTTCTTCAATTGACTCTTTTTCAAAGTTTCTGCAGTCAGTACTTTCAAACAAACAACACACTGTGGTTTCATTATTCCTTTGTCGTCAATTTGGGTAAACCCATAATCAAGGAATTCTTCCTGGTATATTCTTTTTCTAATTGATGTCATCTGAAGGGTGAAAAAGACAATGATTGGAAAAGTTGTAACCCTGACTGACAGGCTGTGTACCGAATTAGCAGGATGCACCAAATTTAATAAAGATGTGCATTATTTTTACTGGAACACATTGCACACCAGCCATGGGGTGGTATATAATAAAGGCAGTTTCTGTGCACTGAACATAACGCGTGCACACACACACAGCTTTAGAAAATGCAGATGCAGCTGCTGAAGATCAAAGCCCCGGATTTGGCAAGTGTGTGTGTGATGTCGTGCTCCTCTCAAGGAAAAGAAACGGGGCAGAAAGAGAGAAAGGAAAGCCTCCAAGCCAAAACTGCTCCGGGTGCCATCCTGTCCCTGAGTCACTCCAGGAGAGTCCCTGAAAGAAGACGAGGTAGCTGGCCCAGTCACCTTTCCCTGGCCGCGGCGTGGTTTTGAGGCCAGCAAATGAAAGTTTGCGGAGACTTTGAAACTGCAGCTCTGACTCCACAAGGGAAGATGGTTGCACAAGATCTGTCGTTCCCCCCCCCCACACACACACACACCCGCCGCCTTCCCCCCTGTATCCAGCTGAGTCAAGGCTGGCCACCAGTTCGCACTCGCACGAAGCGGAGCTGCCACCCCTGACTCCTCCGCGAAGGCACGCGCACGCACGCAAGTCGGAGACCACCGGTCTTGCGAAGGGAAGCCAAGGCAGCGTCAGAAAAATGATGCCCCCCCCCTCCCGGCCTCTCCCCCTCCCCGGCCACCTCAGGCTGCTGACACATAATTTGGAGGTCGAGGCGGGAGGAGGTGCCCTCCCCCCCCCGCAGCTGGGAAGAAGGCGGGATAGCTCGCTCCAGGGAATGAAATGTCACCAGGCTTCCCGAGGGCTTCTGGGAATTTTCTCGGGGCCAAGGCGGCAGTTGCAGGTGCCTCTTCGCTTCCT